TTTTTTTTTTTTTCCAACGATAATCCATAATATTACTAACTCTCAAATAATAAGCAGTACATCAAATTCGAATACCCAAAGGGGTATCAAACAATGGCCAACAACAGCTAGACCAACAAACAGGGAGACAAACAAGTTCCCTTACCCAGCCAACATGGCTTACCTTACACATCACACAAAATAAACCTTCATTCAGATATATAAGAAAAAACACAAGAAGAGAATGTCCTAGCTAACACAATAATATCCGCTGTCACAACATCCTTAGTTTGTTCTCCTCGCATTTTATTTGTGAGCTCCTTAACCAGCTTCTTGTTTTCTATTTGCACCACCAGATTTCCCATCTGAATTTCCACTAAGCAATCCAATGTCCACCTTATTGTTGATAGCCAAGCCTCCACTGAATTTCCTAAAAAATTCCTAGATACAGCTTTGTCTAACACCAACACAGAATTAAGCACAGCAGTAAAGGCACAATGAACTATGCCTTCCTTACCTTGGACAGCCTTAACTTTCACCATCAAAATGTCCCTGGTTTGCTCCATTAACTTGTCCTGCTCGGATAGCATTAGATCCACCCCTCCACTGATCATTGCACTCTCCTTCTGTACTGAAAGAAACTCCAACCAGCCATTTTTTGCATTTTCCACCACCTTTTCCTCTGGGATCCAACATTTGTCAAACACCCAAGAATTCCTGGTTTTCCATAACCACCAAAGTAGATAAGTTGTAAGACTTATTCTATCTTTGAGGTTTTGGAAATTCCTCCCCCACACACATCACCCCACCATTCTTTGAAGCTGCCATTGTGTGAGTTGACTTTCCACCAATGAACCCCAGCCATTTTCCAGCATTTGACAGCTCTAGGGCATCTGAACAGCAAATGTTCCAGGTCTTCCAACTCCATTCCACAACACATACAGACTGCTTCCTCCCTCACACCCTTTGATTGCAGGTTCAAACTTGTTGCCACAAATCCATGCCAACAGTGCCATATGAAATTTTTGATCTTGTTTTGGATTGGTAACTTCCAAGTGTTGCACCATATCTGCTTTAGAGAGTTAGAGCTGGGTCCAGCCTCACCTGCACTTCTTTTGAGTTGATTATGGCTTATGATGTTTTCATATGCAGACTTTACAGTAAACACACCATCTTTGTCAAAGTGCCAAACAAGTTTGTCCTGTAAATCACAATGGCTTAAAGGAATAACAAAAATGGCTTGGGCAGTGACTGGGTCAAAAGTCTGAGAAATAAGTTCCACATCCCAATCCCCATTAACAACCAACTCACTGACTCTCTTCAAATTATCCCTATCATCCGAGAACATAGCCCTAGGTTTGAAATTAGGAATATCTTGAATCCAAGGGCTGTCCCAGGTATTCACTGATCTTCCATTCCCAATTTGAAATCTAATCCCTCTCCTTAAATGCTCTCTAACCCCTAACCAACTCCTCCATAACCAAGAATCACTACTCCTAAGCTTAACCTCCATAATTTTAGAATTAGGGAAATATCTACCCCTCACAACCCTACTCATAAGAAGGTTAGGTTTGGTAAGAATTCTTTAAAGTTGCTTCAAAATTAAAGCCTCATTGAAAGCTCTAATGTCCCTGAAACCTAGCCCTCCCTCTTCTTTAGGCCTAGCCAATCTCTCCCATCTAGCCCAATGCAATTTATTCCCTCCTCCTTCTTTTTTACCCCACCAGAAATTAGCTGTACTCCTACAAATATCATCACAAATAGATAAAGGAATTTTATAACAAGACATGATATAAGTAGGTAAAACTCCCAGGACAGCTTTTATCATAACTTCCCTCCCAGCCTCACTTAAATACACATTTTTCCAGTTAGAAATTTTATTATGAACTGCATCACTCACAAATTTGAAAATTTCTCTCTTAGAACGACCAATCCCCAAGGGGAGACCAAGGTACTTAGAGGTTTTCACATGCACAATACCACAAAGAATTCCCCTGATTTCAGCAATAGAATTAGTTGATGTATTGGGGGAGAAAAAAACTGATGATTTCTCAAGGTTGACAACTTGTCCAGAAGCAGAGCCATACTCCTGTAGGATTTTCAAAATAAGACGAGCATGATCCACATCAGCTTTGCAGAATAGGATTGAATCATCTGCAAAGAACAGATGGGATATAACAGGAGCAGCCCTACCTACTCTAATCCCATGAAATTGAAGCTGATTTTTGGCTCTGTTGATTAAGTTAGAAAAGGCTTCAGTAACTAGAATGAAAAGGTAAGGGGACAGTGGGTCCCCTTACCTCAGACCCCTACTAGGATTGACAAAACCCACAGCTTGCCCATTAACCTTGAAAGAAAAGGAAGAAGAACTCACACAAGCAAAGACCCAGGCCACAAATTTTTCACAAAAACCCATCTTTCTACAGACACAAACTAAGAAATCCCATTCAACCCTGTCATATGCTTTTGACATATCCAACTTCACAGCCATAAAATTATTCTTCCCTCTTCTTTTGCTGTTTATAAAGTGGATACATTCATTGGCAATGATGGCATTGTCAAGAATCTGCCTCCCAGGCACAAAGGCAGATTGGGAGGTAGATATACAGAATTTAAGCACAGTTTTAAGCCTCATAGCAAGAATCTTAGAAATAATCTTATAGATGACATTACACAAGCTTATGGGCCTAAAATCATACACAAAGGAAGGGTTTTTCTTTTTAGGAATTAAAGAGATTAAGGTATGGTTTATACCTTTAGGAATTTGACCAGATTGAAAGAAGTTTTGGATGGCAAGACACAAATGAGATTTGACAATGTCCCAGGACTTTTGGAAGAACAAAGCTGTCATTCCATCAGGACCCGGGGCTTTGTCAGTGTTCATATCCCAAAGGGCATTCTTAATCTCTTCTTCAGACACATCCCTAACTAACTTCTGGTTCATTGTCTCAGTAATGGACTTCGAAATACCCTCAATGCAACAGCTATGAACATCAGGAGAAGAGGTGGTGAACAGAGTTGCAAAAAAGTTTTCCAGAACTTCAGTTGTCTCTTTCAAATTGCTGCACTTGATTCCTGAACTATTAGTCAGATTGTCCAGACTATTTGTGTGTCTTCTCTGATTAACTGAGGCTTGGAAGAACTTGGAATTTCTGTCCCCTTCTTGAAGCCATGAGATTCTAGATTTCTGTTTCCAGAAAAGCTCTTCCTCCAGATAGGCAACATGTAATTGAACTCTGACAGATTTTCA